AAGAACTATCGGGTTGTTCACTTGGAAGTGAACTCGTTACTTGTATCAAAGATGTCAAACTAATATGATAAGATTGATAACTTAGTTGAGCACGAAGCTCCTATCTAATGGCAGACGTGCCAGTCTTATATAGAACCTTCGTCCTCTCCTGGATCCATCCGGGCCCATCACGTGACAGTAACCAATGGAAATCCTTGGATCGCTTAGCTACTCTAAGCGATCCCTATTATAAGAAACCTGGGTGTGCACTGTCGAGGGTTGCGCCTCCTATTATGACATGTATCACGTAGACACGTGATTCGTGACACTTAGGTAGGGGTTAGGTAGTAGAGATAGAAGTATAGGAATCTCGACTAGCTAATTAGACTATTCCGTAATACTCTACATAATATATTATATAGTATACTCTTAGCTATCTACCCCCTTTAAGAGTAGAATATAGCTAGAGAGTTTATATACCTACTGTGACGGTTATGGTCACGAGGGCTGGATGTCACATGCTCGCTTAGCGAGGCGCTAGCGCGCACGACCTGTATTTAGTTCCCAGCTCTCTTGAGCTCTCCTTCTTTCCTCGTCTTTTGTCCTAAGAATAGAGTGTTAATTGTTCTGAGTTCTACCTGAAGCACGTCTGTCACACCTACCTACCTACCTTCAACGCCCTAACTTACTATATACCTACTTACCTAACTGTCACGAATCACGTGTTCACGTGATACCTGTCATAATAAGCGGAGCAACCCTCGACAGGCACATCCAGGTTTCTTATAGCAAATAGGGATGCTTAGACTAGCTAAGCGATCCAAGGATTTCTCGTGTATGTAGTCACGTGATCAATCGCATCGCCTGTATCGACAGTCGATATTAGCGATAGGAGGTCGACTACATCGACAGGTGATGTAGGCGATGTAGAGAGAACGAAGGTTCTATATGAGACTGGCACGTCTGCCATTAGATAGGAGCTTCGTGCTCAACTCAGTTATCAATCTTATCATATTAGTTTGACATCTTTGATACAAGTAACGAGTTCACTTCCAAGTGAACAACCCGATAGTCTTCTTCTTATCATAGCATACCAACCAGCGAACACCCAGCCAAGTTTAGTTAGCCAGTTTGAGTATTCGTTACACTCCCTTCCCTCCCTTGTGCCTTTCCACCTACTCTCCTTCTCTCCTCCCTCCTCCCTCCCTTACAACTTCATAGTCCTATACCTATACGTCCTAAACCAAACCAAACCAAACCTACCTATACGTCCCTCCCTCCTACCTCCCTTACAACTTCATAGTCCTATACCTATACGCCCCTTCCCCTTCCCCTTCCTTAAATTCAAAACTCTACCCTAACTCACTCACTTACCTACAAACTTACAAACTGAAAAATCAAATTATATTACACCCTTCCCCTTCCCTACAGTATAACCAGAACCCCAACTCTTTTACTTACATTACATTACATTATATCAAGCCGATCCCTTCTCCCCTTTCCCGCCTTCCCTCCACCTACCACACACTCCCACTACCACACTCCCCACAACTCCACCTAACAAATCAAATCACATTCCCACTCACCCACCACCCCACTATTTCACAATTTCCCCATCCCACCATCTCACCATTTCACACACCTCATCAAAAATTCAAAAACATCAAGCAAGGAATAACAACAAATAAATTATCTATCTATACACATCCACCACCCTATCCCCCCTCCACCTAACCTCACCTCCCTTCTTCCTTCTCCCACCTCAACCACCCCACATCCACATCCACATCCACATGCATACACAATACACATGAATACATCAAATAGATNAACCTCACCTCCCTTCTTCCTTCTCCCACCTCAACCACCCCACATCCACATCCACATCCACATGCATACACAATACACATGAATACATCAAATAGATGCAAAAAAAAAAGACGAAGAACCTCCCTCCCTCTTCTTTCCCATCCCTCCCATCCCCCCTACCCACCTCCTCCTTCCCCCAAAAATATTCCATCAAAAAACGACTCGCACGCAAAAACAATCAACGACAAAACAACACAAAGAGATCAAGGAAAAAAAGAAAAGGCAAGAAAAAAGTATATCGAACAAGGTATCTGAATCAGATCAAAACAGAAACATCAATATCCATATTCATATTCAACAAAATCGAAAAAATCGAAAAAAGAGAGGAGTACAAGTAGCTAGCATAAAATTAAAACTAAAAGTAATTTCCCATTCCATATCCCAAATTCCAATTTCCCCACCAAACAAAAATGCCAAATTCTTCAAAAAAAATCAAACTAATAGGACAAGGGCAGAAATACAAAGAGCAAAAACATAACCGTAACAGAGGTACGACGAGATGAAAACAATAACGAGGTTGGTTTTTTTCTTCTTCTGCATGGTCCAGCCAAAAACAAAACAACAAACAATAATCCTATGTAGGTACGTGGCGGGCGTTCTCTCTCTCAAGAGCCAAAATATTAAAGAAGAGCGCTTTGAAGCGCTGTAGAGGTAAGGTGGTATATCAATGATGAGAGGAAAATGAAAACAACGCAAGAGAACAACGCTCGAGATGATGAAAAAAAAATCCAGAGACGAAGAAAAGATGACCCCCCAGTCCCCCCAGTTATATATATATGTGCCCAGCCAATGACCAAGCCCTTTGCTCACAACCAGATAAAACCAGACAGACCAGTCAAAAACCCTTGCCCCGTATTGTTGCCCGTGACCTCGCGGAAGGAAATGCTCCAATTGTGCCCTGTAAAATAAAAAGATGTTCGATGAAATAACGCGGTATATGCAAATAGGCGAAGAATAAACATATGAAAAGACGAATAATATGACGAAGTTGGTAAGTTCGCCGAGATAAGAGATGCGTGGATATCAGAGTCTAATTGGTAGGAAAGTCGACAGGAGAAAATCATGGAATCGTGAAAAGGTGGTATCCAATCTTAGTAGACGCTGTCGTCGTTCTCATCAGGACCCTGTGAGATCATTGAGGGTGTGGAAACGTCGGATGCTTCAATGTCATCTTCATAGCCGACTAAGGCTTGAGCGTGAAGTCGGAAAGAATCGCCCATGAGTTTGGTGATGCTATAAACAGGTTAGAATGTGCCTCGGATGGATCAGGAATGGAATAACTTACCCCCAAACGACTACCTCATCAAGCATACTTCCCCAAAGACGAGCGACGGTGGAGCTTAGCTTGTTGCCATAATCTACAGAATCTTCATCGACAAGAGCACGAACTTTGTTGTACATGGCCATTTCTTCCTCAGTAGCTGGTTCTTCGTCGTGTTCCAGACGATAGAGCCATAAGCTGAGAATGACCATGAGATCCAACCCACAGAGAGGGTGCTCGATGCTCCAGTTGGTAGCTGATGTGCGTGCAACCCAGCGAATACCTTGAAGAGCAGCTGTCTCCAGACAGTTAAAGCATTCTTGAATGACCTTGATCATCTCGCTAGATCGCTTAACCTTATCTCTGGCATTTGACATGGCAGCGGCAACTTCATAAGAATCGTGATATCTCAAAGCCTCTTGGATGGATTTGAGGTCGACTTCCAGACGTGCACGGGCGTTGCGGAACATGGCCATAGAGTTGAAAACAAGGGGGTGACCTTTGTGAGGAGCACTGAGAGGTACAGACACTGGCTCAGGATCACAAAGCTCAAGAGATTTCTCCCAAGTTTCCAACGCTAGGCGAAGCTTGTATTCCGTCACAACATCTTGTAGAGCCTCGGGACTGCGCTTGTGATACCAAACTTCAAGGAACAAGGCATTGATCATCACACGTGTGGCAAAGGCGCTGTAACGTAACGATTCGCCCTGGAAAAGGTTGTCGTGGGCTTCCATGAATGAGGCAGCTTGTGATGTCTTGAGGGTCTCGGGCCATGAGGATTCGTCAACTACATGAAGATTCCACATGACTTCTGTTGATGGCAGTGCAAGATCTTCAAACTCGTTGAAACTGATGGCTGGCGTGTGGTTGTATGTCAACGTCAGGAGACCAAAGAAAATGTAGACAGCGTAGTACGTCCGTCGACAACCTTCATCTTCAACCCACTCTGCGCGAGTTGGTGAGCGACCTTCGCGAGCCTCCGTTCGGAGCTTCAACTCATATCGATTACCTGCTACCATGTTGGCAAGCAAACTCTTGATAGAGCAGGCCCATTCCAATCCCTTTGGATCACCACTCCAGCTGGCAAATACCATGTTGAGCAGAGAACTTTGCATGGTCCAAAGAGGACATTTACGCGAGCTGAAGTTCTCCTTGTTCTGGAGGAACTGATTGACGAGCACTTTGGAACCAATGTGGAGTACGTAAGCTTGATCAACGTCAAATGCGTACAGTGCACCAATTGACAACACAGCCAACAGAAGTGGCGACGAAACTTGTGTTGCCTTGAAGGATGCTGGGTGCAGGAACGGTAGGTGGTGATGAAACAGACTGAAGTATGTTGACAAGTACCTGTTGAGTGATGCGAGGCCAGGAAGACGGAAGCTCTCTGGAATGGCACGTTCACTATCATTGTTACGAATGTTGTCAAGGATGATATTACGCTCATCATCACTGAGTACTTGAGGTGCTTTCAGTGAGAGATCCCCGTTGCGCGTCTGGCTTGGTGATTGTGCACCTGGAGTTGCGGTTCTTGAAGGAGGCAAAGAGTTGATCATTGATTGTAACGCAGGTACTAAGCCATTGTAGGTTGAGGCCGACTTGTGTATCGGAGGCAGCTGGTTTGGATGCGGTGCCGAGCTGATGCTTGTAAACGATGCATGCGATTCTTGCGATCCAGAAGCATTGGATGTGATGGAATGCGACTTTGGCTCTGTCACAGACTGTGGCATGAAGGAATCCCACTGCACCTGGGGGAGCGAGATGGCTCCAGAAGGATAAGTGACGGATGGTTCCATGAGCGGGGTTCCATTCTGAGAGAAAGCCATTCCAGGTCGATTCTCATATGGTCCCACGCCCGCATTCCGCATGGCCGCAGTTGCTTTGTGGTGGAGGTCCGTCATCAACATCGCAGCCGTCTCGAGGTCAACCATGCCATCGCTGCTTGCTTCAATCTGCTCCAATGCCAAAGTGTCAATGGCAATGGCGGCCTTGGAGGGGCCGGATAGGGCGTTCGCTTTGGGGCCTGCTCGTCGCTTCACATCACTGTGCAATGGGATTCCTCCATCTTTGGCGTGCACTGTTCGGTCATGGCGAAGCAACAAATCTCGTCGCACGAAGGTACTTCTACACTTCATGCACTTGAAAGGGCGTTCCTTGGTATCTGCGGTGCGACGGCGACGTTAGCAGTGTTCTCGTCTCGAGGAGGGTAGATGCGACGAAAGAGGGGGATGTTTTCGTTGGCGATGCGAACGAACATCGGTCCCCCACGCGACCTGGGGCAGGAGGGGAAGGTCACCACCACACCACATTACTTACGGGATCTCTCGTGTCTACTCCGGTGTTCACTCCGGCTGAAAGCTCTATTACAGAACTGACATTTGTACTTCTTCTCGGGCGCGAGCGTCGATTTTCGAATGGTGGACGATGCTGCTGCGGTGGGCAGGACGGTCATGCTTGCGACAGGCATTGTGGCGGTTCGATGAAGATGTCGATGTCGGTTGCCTGAGTGCTTGTCCTTTCACAGCGCGATGGTTGAATATCGTCTGACTCGCGAGCGTGGGCGTAGGGCTTAAAGGGTGACTTGAATGCGTGAAGATATCGTGTTCATTTGTTGCGAGGTTGAAATCATAGATGGTGTTGGTGGTTGTGGTATAGTGGTTGGCGGAGGCCGGATAGTCGCAAGGCGGACGATTCTCGAGGGGCAAGAAAGGTGCGCAGTCGCGTGTCGTGTCGACAGGTTGGGGGAGTGAGCGAAGGGGTTGGGTGCTGGTATTAGAGGGCGGAATGAGCGTCGCCGATGATGGGGATCCTGTCGAGCGTGAAAGTCGATGGAGGTGAAGGTGTAGATGTAGATTAGAGTCTATGGTGACTTTTTGATGGGATGGATGAGGGGGGAACGAGGACAGAAGAGGGGAAAGAAAGGAATGTAGGGAGGGACGAGGTGAGAAAGGAGGGATGTGTCTGCGTTGCTGGGCCTCTGGGTCTCTGGGGGGGGGGAAGATGGGTGATG